GAGATCTTCCATGGCTGTCCCCAACATAGACCCCTCAGCCTCTCTCTGTGCCCTGAGCCTGTCTGCCCTCTCCCCACTGCGCCAGCACCCACAATAGTGCAGCCACTGTTTAGGTTTTTTTTTTTTTTGAGGAATCTCGCTCTGTTGCCAGGCTGGAGTATAGTGGTGCGATCTTGGCTCACTGCAGCCTCTGCCTCCCAGGTTCAAGCAATTCTCCTGCCTCAGCCTCCCGAGTAGCTGGGATTACTAGGTGTGCGCCACTCTGTCTGGCTAATTTTTGTATTTTAAGTAGAGACAGGATTTCACCATGTTGGCCAAGATGGTCTCGATCTCTTGACCTCGTGATCCACCTGCCTCAGTCTCCCAAAGTGCTAGGATTACTGGCGTAAGTCACCATGCCCAGCCAGCTCAGCCATTGTTTACTGTCTGTTTCTCCTCTGCAGGAGAGGCCGGTGAGAGCAGGGTCTGCCTTGGTCTGCTGTGGCGTTGGTGCCTGTCAGAGCCAACGCTCGGGATGAATGAGTGAAGGGGAATGAATCTGCTGGATGAATCAGTGAAGGGGAATTATGTGGCTGACACGCTGAGAGGACCCCACAAAGTGGAGAAGCCTGTAGAGAAGGCTGGCCCAGGCGTTAGGGGGGCGCACACCCCTCACATGGGACCAAGGGCCCACAAGCCAGACATGGCCTCTGCCCAGAGGGGAGAGGGATGACGGCCCATCAACTACGGGGCACTGGGACAGGGCTGGGGGCCCAGGGTGGGCACATGAGGGGGTTGGGAAGGCTTCTTGCAGAAGAAACATTTCCCTCCATTATCTGCATTCTGGAAAGAAGGCACCGTTTGCACAGAGCCCTGAGGCAGGAAACAGAGGGCCCTGGAGGATGCAGGAGCGCAGGTGATCCTGGTGACTCTGCCGGGCAGTAAGCAGGGGCTGAGATGCAGTCAGAGTGAAGGGCCTTGCAGGTGCGGTGGCGGGGACAGTGACGGAGCCACCTAAGCAGAGCAGGGCCGCCGGGCCTGGGGGAGCTCCCGGCCACTTCTCTGGTGCATGGCGATGAGAGTGGGCATGCCAGGAAGCAAGGAGACCTTGGGGTTGGCTCCACCTCGGAGGAGAGGAAGGTCAGAGGCAGCGCCACCATCTTCCTCGACCCAGGCCGGGGTCTGCGGAGGTCATCCAGATAAATTGTAATGTTGGCTCAAACCCGGGTGTGGGAGAGGGAAGGGCAGAGAGGGACGGATCTGGAACTTTTTGGGAAACAGATGATGGGGGCTTAGAGGCTGACTGGCTGGAGGTAGGGGAGTGTCGGAGAGCAGTCCTGTATTCCTGACTCAGGCCATGTGAGCCCAGGGCAGGAGGGCCTCGGGGCATCTGAGCTGCGAGCCGGGCTCTACAGGATCTCCCACCCTGGCCTCTCTGTGCCTCCGGCCACGCACAGGCGCTGTGGTTGAATTTGGGAATGGGGGAGATGAAGCTGATGGAGGCGCGGGGCCAGGTGACAGAATGTGACAGAGCTTGACGCATGATTCTTTAAGACTCCAGCTTTCGTGTGTCTGAGGAAGCACCCGGCACAGTCCCCTGGGAGAGGGACTTTAGGCCAGGTGACATAAAACCAAGCAGACCAACAGGGAGAGATGAGCACCTTCCCCCACGGCCACCTGCATCTCAAGCTTGTGGGAAGCGCTTGGAGAAACAGGCTGCGTAATTGTCATTTGGGGACGTGAGATGGCCGTGTTGACCCCTGCAGTCATAGCTACTGCTGTAGTCAGCACCACTGCCATGGTTGGCATGATCATGTCCCCTCAAAAACCACATGTTGACATTTACACACCAGTGTAATGGTATTAAGAGGTGACGCTGTAAGAGACAATGAGGTCACCCAGGTGGCGCCTTCACAGATGGGATTAGGGTCTTATCAAAGGGCCAGAGGGAGCGGGTTCACCACGTGAGGCCTCAACACTCGTCCCCTCCCAAAGATGTAGCAACAAGACCGTGTTGGAAGACGACGCAGGCCTTTGCCAGGGAGGCTGGGGGTCTGAAACCCAGGGCTCAGCAGGTTCGCCATCTGGAAAGGATCCAGCCTTGCTTCCAGGATGGCACTCAGAGCACTGCCTCCTCCTGGTGGGGGGACGCTGTGTCCTCATGCAGCGGCGGGCAGAGGGACAAGGACAAACTCCCTTCACCAAAGCCATTTTATTTTGTTAGTAGTAGTATCTTTGTGGTAGGGGCTCTTTCTGTCGCCCAGGCTGGAGTGCATTGGTGCAATCACGGCTCACTGTGGCCTTGATCTGCTGGACTCAAGTGATCCTCCTGCCTCAGCCTCCCAAATAGCTGGGACTACAGGCATGCTACACCACGCCCAGCTACCTTTTTTTTTTTTTTTAACAGACAGGGTCTCACTATGTTGTCCAAGCTGGTCTTGAACTCTTGGGCTCAAGTGATCCACCCACCTCCGCCTCCCATAGTACTGGGTTGCAGGCATGAGCCACTGTGTCCAGCCTCAAAGTCCTTTCCTAAGGCCACTAATTCCCTTAAGGAGGGAGGCGCTCTCTTGACCTAATCACCTCTCAAGGCGGTTAGGACACGTGGACGTTAAGTTTCAACACCCAAGTTTTGGAGAGGACACATTCAAACCACAGCACGCACGCATCCGACGTTCCTTCCTCTGTAAGTTAAGGCTGAACAGCGCTCGGGGTCAGGTGATTCTCGGCTGCGGGCCTGGCTGCTTTAGGCGTTGAGCAGTGTCCTTGAGCCTCCACCCACCAGATGCTACTGCATTCTCCCCTCCCAACTGTGACAATGAAAAAGGCCTCTAGACTTTGCCAAATGTCCTCTGGGGGCCAAAGTCTTCCCCTACTGGGAACCACTCTCTTGTGCACACCCACCTCTGAAGACTTGAGTCTCTCCTGCCTCTGCCCGCGTGCCCGAAAGAGCAGCCACAGCTGGGCGAGGAGGCAGGGGCCGAGGAGGCTCGGGAATGCGTCTCCAGCATCTGGCTGCAGCCCAGATCCCAAATCCAGCCAGAAAGGTACAGCCGCACACATCTCCTGTCAGCACGGCTTAATAGCATGAGGACAGATTTCCCCATAGCCGTTTTTAATATTTAAAAAAAATCCTCTCTTCTTAGAGCCACATTAAGCATACGGCACCGGCCGCGTCGCCTCCTGCAAGCTCAGTGCCTGCCTCCTGTTTTCCTGCATCTGGGAAGACACAAATCCTACTTAGAGTCAGACCTCAGGAGATGTGTGAAGACGTAAAAGTCAAAGATAAACAGGCCTGCCTTGCCCTCGGACACATCAGCTGGATTTTCTGCAGTCACCCAGGCCCTTCACCAAAAAAGCCAAGAGCGAGAAAACCTTCCCGCACAATCCATAACAACAGCCCCCCGCCCCGCCCCAAAACAGCGAGTCTGGCCGTCGAGGCAGCTGACAGCCACAACTCGGGCAGCGTTTCAGCGCGTTCCGGCCCGCGCTCCCTCCTCCCGGCCGCTGCCAGCACAGCTCCGTTTTGATCCACAAACATTCCAAGTTTCAACTCAAGCGCCATGTAGCTCTGCGAATACCCATCAGCCCTCAGACAAAATCTTTTATTTCCTAGTAAGCCTGGAATAAAAAAGATGAATTCGCAGGGGATTTGGGAGTGACAGAAAGACACCTGATCCCCTCAGGATGATCTTGACAGAGAATAAATTCTGTTTGCTCAGGTATGGTTCATCAAGCATTGATTAAGAGTCACAGCAGGCCGGGCGCGGTGGCTCAAGCCTGTAATCCCAGCACTTTGGGAGGCCGAGGCGGGTGGATCACGAGGTCAAGAGATCGAGACCATCCTGGTCAACATGGTGAAACCCCGTCTCTACTAAAAATACAAAAAAATTAGCTGGGCATGGTGGTGCGTGCCTGTAATCCCAGCTACTCAGGAGGCTGAGGCAGGAGAATTGCCTGAATCCAGGAGGCGGAGGTTGCGGTGAGCCGAGATCGCGACATTGCACTCCAGCCTGGGTAACATGAGTGAAACTCTGTCTCAAAAAAAAAAAAAAAAAAGAGTCACAGCATTTTGGAATTGGAATCAGAAAACTTTATGGGGGAAAAAAAGAAATCTCCCTTCCAGGGCAGAGGAGCAGTGGTCACCCACCTTCTTTTGGAACATTCCAGAAAGATGTCATCTTTGCCCCGATTCTCACCCCTGCCTGCGTCCCTGCCCTCTGTCATGTGACTTGCAGCTCCTCCCACGTAGGCAGAACCTGCTTTCCCGACCCTGGACGTCCAGCGTGGCCTTGAGACCACCTTTGGCCAGCAAGGCATAGGCAGAGCAGAGCTAGGGCTTGCAGACATGCGTGCATACATGAGCCTCCCTTCTGCTGCCTCTGCCATCACCAGGACAAGAAGCTGCCTCAGAGAGCCCAGGAAGCCCAGGAGGGTGGGAGACTCAGCCCAATCTGTGGTGTGAGGCAGAGCCATGCCGGCCACAGGCCCAGGAGAATCCGTGATGCTGAGCCAGCCCCTGAGCTTGTGACTGGTTTGGCATTCATCATTACTGTGCCAATAACTGGCCGATTCAGAAACTGGCTGAGCCATACTTGCTGCTGTGACCCTGTGGGTGTTTGTTACCAGGCATTAGCTGACGCATGCATGCTGCTGCAGCCCTGAGGTCCTGTGGGTGTTTGTTACCAGGCATTAGCTGACCCATGCATATGAGACATGCTGTGCATCACAGCGGCCCTGTCCCTTTGCCACATTGTGTGTTGCTGGACAGTGACCAGTATTTGCCTCTTCCCCGCCAGACTCGGATGAACCCAACCTTGGAAGCAATTCTGAAAACAGGTCGGCAAGTCTAGATTCAGTGGCCTGACAGTGGTTTCGTGACAGCTCTTGGGTCCCCCAAGTCTCTCTACCTCTTTGGAATGCTGGGGAGACCCCAGCTATGGAGAAAACATGGTCCTGACCCTCAGAGGAGCACAGGTGGGTCAGGAAGGTAGGGATGTACAAGGCAGCCAAGGATTTCATGGAAGGTGAGAGACAGTCAAGCCAAGGCAGGTGTATTACGGGAAGGCAGGGTCCCCACAGACATCCCTGCTGCTGCCCGCCTCATCCCCATGCCCTGCTCCCTCCCCTGCACCTCCCCCAGGCTGAGGACCTCCTCCAACCCCCCACCACTCTGCTTTTCCCTCCAAGACTGGCAGCTCCAGAGGCCCCGCCCTCCACACCTGTTCCCCTCTTGGCTCATCACCAAAAGTGACCTGTTCTGAAAAAACATTTGCACTCCCATGTTCCTGGCATCTTTATTCACAGCAACCAAAAGGCAGAAGCAACCCAAGCGTTCATCACTGCACGAACGGATACGCAAAACGTGGTGTCTCCGGAAAATGGGACGTTATTTAGCCTTGAAAGGCAAAGCAGTGCTGACGCAGGCTACCACACGACGAGCCTAGGGGATGTTACGCAGCGCGAAAGAAGCCAGATACGAAAGGACAAATGCAGGTCCGGGCGCGGTGGCTCACGCCTGTAATCCCAGCACTTTGGGAGGCCGAGGCAGGTGGATCACGAGGTCAAAAGATAGAGACCATCCTGGCCAACATGGTGAAACCCCGTCTCTACTAAAAATACAAAAAATAGCTGGGCATGGTAGCGCACGCCTGTAATCCCAGCTACTCTGGAGGCTGAGGCAGGAGAATCGCTTGAACCCAGGAGGCGGAGGTTGCGGTGAGCCAAGACTGAGCCACTAGACTCCAGCCTGGATGATAGAGAAAGACTCTGTCGCAAAAAAAAAAAAAAAAAAAAAAAAAAATGCTGTAAACTTCCACTCATGTGAAGTCCCTAATGCAATCAGACTCACAGAGACAGAATGGAATGGGAATTGCCAGCTGGGGGAGGGGAATGGGGATGGAGAATTTCTGTTTCATGGGGACAGAGTTTCTGTTTGAGAAGGTGAAAACGTTCTGGAGAAGGCGGTGATGGCTGCACAACAGTGTGAGTGTGCTGAATGCCACGGAACTGTGCCCAAAAGCGGATACGGGGTAAAGTTTTGTATCTTACCACTCATTTTCTTTTTGAGACGGAGTGTCGATGTGCCACCAGGCTGGAGTTCGGTGGCACGATCTCAGCTCACTGCAGCCTCTGCCTCCTGGTTCCAGCGATTCTCCTGCCTCAGCCTCCCGAGTAGCTGGGACTACAGGTGTGCGCCACCACATCTGGCTAATTTTTGTATTTTTAGTAGAGACAGGGTTTCACTTTCAGGATGGTCTCGATCTCCTGACCTCGTGATCCACCCGCCTCGGCCTCCCAAAGTGCTGGGATTACAGGTGTGAGCCACTGTGCTCAGCCCACACTTTTTTTTTTTTTTGAGATGGAGTCACGCTCTGTCACCCAGGCTGGAGTGCAGTGGCATGATCTCGGCTCACTGCAACCTTGGCCTCCCAGGTTCCAGCGATTCTCCTGCCTCCGCCTCCCAAGCAGCTGGGACTATGGGCACACGCAAATTTTTGTATTTTTAGCAGAGATGGCATTTCACCATGTTGGCTAGGCTGGTCTCGATCCCCTGACCTTGTGATCCGCCTGCCTCAGCCTCCTAAAGTGCCGGCATTACAGGCATGAGCCACTGTGCCTGGCCCACACTTTTTGTTTTAAAGCAACCTATCCTATATCCCAGCTCCTCGAGGCCCAGCTCCCAGCTGGCTGTTGGCTACCAAAGCAATCGGGAAGTCTCAGGTGTGTGTGGGCAAAGGCCTCCCTGCCTGCCGCTCCTGCCTCCCCTGGCTTCAGCAGGATCCGCCAGCATCCTCACGGCTTTAACCAAAATGAAGCAATTGCTAACGGTGGCCACCCAGGGGTGGGGGCGGGCCAGTCAGGCGATGCTGGGGTCACCGCTCCACGCAGAGGCAGCAGCCCACTCTACCTGTGGCAGATGTGCACGGGGCATGCCAGTCTCACGTTCTCAAGGGAAAGGAGGACTCTGTGGCCGACACCCAGCTGGAAGGTCGAAATGTGAGCAGACAGGGTTTATTTGGATGAAGAAGGTGGAAACAAGTGGGGGAAGCCAAACGAGCAAAGACGGTGGAGAAAGATCAGAGATGGTGGAGCCACGGCTCAGCAGGCAGGCTGGCAGGAAGGTGGCATTCCTGGCTCCCCCGCCCCTCTTCCTGTCCAAGCTCGCATGGATGGACAGGGAGGCCTCTGCTTTGGAGCTATGCTGGCTTTCGAGTCGGCAGACCTGGGTTCATGTTCCAGCTCTGCTGTTCCATGGCTGTGTGACCTTGAGCAGGTTACCCAACGTCTCTGAGCCTCAATGTCCTCATCTATGGAGTGAGAAAAATAACAGGACCCCTTCCTGGTAGGGTTTCATGAAGGATCATAGAACGGAGTGCACACGAAAGGCTCGGCCAGTGTCCGGCACGCAGCAAATGCTTCATTCACGTTGGTCGTTTTGCCAGGCAGCTTCTGAAAGGCCCTAGCGGTCCATTCCTGCTGGACCTAGTGACTTGCTTCTGGGAGGAGACTGCAGTGAAGCCGACGGGGTGTCACTTCCGTGGCTCAGCTGCGGATGGCTGTGACTCATCCTGCTGCCGCTCTCCGCCTTGCTGGTCCTATCTCTTTCGGCCCTCCTGCCTGCACGCTCTGACAACACAAGCTGTGTGGGCAAAGCGCTGCATTGGATGTTGTGTGATGTTCTACGGAGCAGCCTCCACGGCACGGAACCCGGGGACGCCTCAGCCAGCAGCCTGCGAGGAACTGCCACCCGCCGGCAGCCACGTGAATGAGCTTGAAAGCGGGTCCTTCCCAGTGGGGCCTTGAGATGACCATGGCCCTGCAGGGGCCCTGAGCAGAGGGACCAGCTCTCCCAGCAGACTCCTGACCTGCTGGATCTGCGTGATGATAACCAAAGTTGTTTCACCTCACTAAGTTTGGGAGTAAGTTGTTACTGTGCACGAAATACTGAGTACAATCACGTGGTGTTTCTAACCATGACTGGACGGACTCCCTAATGCTTTCCCTGGGAACTGCAGGCTCCAGTTATCCCCAAGCCCGCCCTGCAGCCTCCTCAGCCTCCTCAGCCTCCTCAGCCTCCGCAGCCTCCTCAGCCTCCGCAGCCTCCGCAGCCTCCTCAGCCTCCGCAGCCTCCGCAGCCTCCTCAGCCTCCGCAGCCTCCTCAGCCTCCTCAGCCTCCGCAGCCTCCTCAGCCTCACGCTTTCCAGTGCTCTCACGTTCTCCGTCCACGCCACGCACCCGCAGACTCACATCCTGACGCAGCGCAACACTCACTCACGCTACGTCCACATGGTGGGCTGGTTTATTCTCTATTCTTTAACCAGAAGCAGCCCCAAGAGCATGCCACTGAGCCTCTCCAGCCGGCTGCAAACATCTCCTGAGAACATCCAGCCCCTGGCTACGCTGCTGGATTCACTCTCAGAGCCACAGCTCCGCGTCTCCCTGACGGCGACAATGACAGGAGCAGTCCCTCTGCTCCATGTGGGTCCTGTGCATCCGGGAATCACATGTCACACACACAGTCTCAATGCTGGCCTCTAGTTCGGTCTCCAGGGAAGAGACCAGGCTCACTGGCCTCTAGGCTCTAACGACTAGGCTATGGTGGGCTGCTGGGCCAGGTGGAGAGGAAGGCGGGCAGGCTGGAAGCCGCGCTGGGCCTGAGTGAGTCCAGCTCCTCCCTGGCAAGCTGGGCCACTTTGGAATACTCCCTGCCCTTCCGTGGACCTCCCTCATAGCTCCCTAAGGAGTTGGCTGTAAGAGGCTTACATGTGGTAGTGTACATGAAAGGCTTTTCTTTCCTGGCTCAGCTCCAGGAGGGATGACCTACTGCAGGCCAGAGGCCCTGGCTGCGAACCTCCCTCCTGCTAGGAAGAAGCACATTGCCGTCATTCAGTCTCTTGTGAGTTGGATTATTCGGAGTCTGTTTGCCGGAGTCTGAGCTCTAGAAGGGATGAGTGACTAGACTGGTAACACTGCACTATGCCGACCCTCCTCCCAGCTGCAGGGCGCTGCCAAGTCCCATTCTCCATGACAGCCTTCTTGTGTTGACACCATGTTCTCCTCTCTTTAAAATAACAACCTTTACTTGACCCTGCCGCCCAGGAACTTTCCTCTAAGATTCTCCCAGGCTATGCAGAGGGCAGACGTGAGTGTAGGCTGTAAATCAGGAGCCCTCGTGACTCTTAGATCCATTAATCCATCAGGAGAAGATTAGCTACCTCTTAGTGTTGAGGGAGGGACCAGAAATCCTCTCACAGGATTGACTAATGGCTCAGGAACCACATTTGATACAACTCACGACTCAGCACTTACTGTTGTGACCCTCAGGGGTTTACGGACACCAGCATCCTTCTCTGTGCCTTACCATTAGCAGCCGCACCCACACCCCAAATCCAGTGAAAGGAATCTGCTTCCTGCTTCGCCTGTCCTCAGATTGGGTCTGGGTAACATAATAATATTGAGTCGTTAAGGAGAAAATGAGCCACAGCCATAACCTGCAGGATCCAAATATTCCAGATTGGGAGTTCTTTAAAAGCTAGGGCCTCCTTTGTCCTGAGGCATATAGCCCTGGGACTGGACATAGAAACCCACCCAACACATACATGTAGGATGGATGGTTGGATAAATATGGATGGTGGATGGGTGGGTGGGTGGGTGGATAGATAGATGGATGGATGGATGGATGGAGGGATGGATGAATGGTTGAATGCGTGGATGGGTGGGTAGGTGGGTAAGATGCATGGATGGACAGATAGATAGGTAAGTGGAGGGATAGATGGGAGGATGGGTGGATGGATGAATGGTTCAATGGATGAATGGATAGATGGATGGGTGGATGGATGAATGGGTGGGTGTATGGTTGTGTGGATGGGTGGGTGGGTGGGTCGCTGAACGTGCGGATGGGTGGATGGATGGTTGAATGCGTGGATGGGTGGGTAGGTGGGTGGATGGATGCATAGATGGATGTATAGAAAAATGAATAAATTAATTTCTGGACAAGGAACATAATTTTTTTTTTTTTGAGATGGAGTCTCACT